AGATTCCCGTAGGAGACAGTGGTCCTCAGAAACTCAAATCTGTCCCTCCTTGAAGACTCCCGGCTTTACTGCTTTATGTTGGGTTGGTGGGAAGGGGTGTGCATTATCTATCAGCACAAGGTTGGCTTTGATATGTTAAGCAAGCCTTTCATTTCATGCGAGTCCAAAGAAAGGCCCAAAGAACCCACCACTAAATACAAGCTGGAGCTGTATTTATACCGAGTCCGTCTGTCTCTAAACAGCACGCTGTCATGACTGCGTCTCAGCCCAGGCTGCGGGGACAAGTCTATTGATGGTTTCATCTGGACACTCTAATAGTGAAAGGTAGGTATTCTTTTTCCTTCCCCCCTTTCTTCTTTCTCCTTCTCCTCCTCCTCCTTCTCCTCCTCCTCTCCTCCTCCTCCTCTTCTTCCTCCTTTTTTCTTATGGCAGGCACTTTTTTTGAATATGCTTTGTGACTATCCATTTTTTTTGGGGGGGAGGGGGTGTTTATGTTATTTCTTCTTTGTTCACAGTGATGATGAGTAAAATCTATAAGAGGTAAGAGGCGTGGCCTATGTTTGCCCAGAAGGGCTCAGAGCGAGGACGAAGATATTCTAAGCACGATTCCATTCTCTCTCGGGTGTAGAACTCCAGCGGGTGGAGCGGGTAGTGGTGGGATTGAGCCGCCGGTGCTAGATGGTTCTTGATCGTTGAGTGTGCAGAGGCCCATTGCCAGGATCCACCCATTGTTGGCAGTGGTCAGGCTGGTGAGTTAAATGGGCACGTGATGGAGACCACAGCCCTGCATCCTATCCTCTCTGAGCAGGGCTTCATTCCGGGCCACTCCCCACAACAGTTACTCTCTTGGCCAGAGAGGGCAGTATCGGGGCTTCCGCGTGGCTGTGTCTACTACCATAGCGCGCAGCCTACAAGTCAGGGAACCAGCGTGAGGATTCCGCCAGCTGCTGAGTAAGACCATTTGGATATTACATTTGGGAACCAGGACAATGACCAGTACGGGCCCAATGGACCCGCTGAGGGGCCCAGTGACCTCCTGGACCCTCTATGTTCACACTCCCTTAGCGAAAAGGGATCCCCGTGGGCCCTTTAGGTCCCATCCATCTGCATTCACGTGGACTTTGTATCCAATAACCGGGAAATAGCTGAGTATCCCTCTTTGCCGGTGTATGGTTACTGAGTCAATTAAATGGCCAGAGCTCTCTTTGGGGCAGGATTGGAAGAATCACTACTGTGTACCCTTGCCGTGGGCCTGGTCTCTTACTGAATGGGTGTTTGGTCTGAGAACTGTCTCAGGGAAGGAAGCTAGGCAGGAGACTGTGACTTTCCCACGGGACAGCTGGCCTCAGTCTCCTGCGCGCCCAGATGTGACATGTCTGCCTGCATATCACTTGATTATATGCATTGTGCCTTTGGTGACCGCCGTCTATCTTGGCCCACGTTCTGTCAGCCATCTCCATGGGTCTCTGAGAGTCAGCTGCCCCCCTCTGCCGTTCGGACCCTGCCGCCTACAACAGCAATCACGCCCAGCTCGCGTCTGATAAGTGCCGGCCCCCAGCCTCTGTCCCGCCAGCCTCCGCCCCTTCGCCCCTTGTCCCTAGAGAGCCCCGTTCTGTAACAGCGCCCCTGTCGTCAGGCCTGGCCTACAGATGGCAGCCACCACCGACGTTCTCAACAGAGCTGCAAGCGCACCCAACACCCATGGCCTTGGCAAACCGGGCCTTCTCGGGCAGTAGAGTTGGCTGGTAGTGTCCGGTCCAGCAGGTGCACTTCCCTGAGCCGAGTGTCCCTCCCTCCACCGGAAGCCGTGGAGTCTCAGCTTCAGCCCATGTGACCCCTTCCTCTCGCCGAGTGCCGTCCGTGCCGTGTGTCTGAAGCAGCCCACACTGGCCCTTGACACAGTGTCCGGCCTATGTGACGAGGGTGTTGCCATATCGGCAAACTCTCCGTAATTCCTCCCCCTTGGTTCAGTCCCTTTGGGACCCATTTTCAGCCTTATTTACAGCCCTGCTGGTCTCTGTTAGCCAGGTCCCGCGGCTCCTTCAACGCGCAATGCCTCCCGAGGCAGGCCCAGCACTGCCCGGTCAGGCCGGACCGAGCCCTAACCTTAGAGAACGGTCTGGTGGCCAGGAGGATTATGGGGCAGAGCCTGAAGAAGGCATTGTCTTGTAGGTGCCTGCCTTATGTGTGGCTTCTGCACAGACCTCCGATTGGGGGGGCAGGGGGAGGGGCCCCTTCAGCAGGCCCAGGGAGTTCTGAGGAGTGTGAAGTTCTCCTGTGGTTGGGGTCCCATCCTCAGTCTCGGGGTTCCACCTCTTCTTTATCGGGGCCCTGATTTCGGTGTAGGTGATGGGCCCTGGCCGAGGAGTCACCGTTTCTGAAGTTCTGCTCCTTTGAAAGGAACCCGAACCTGCCCTCAGGCCTGCTGGCCCTCACACTGCAGGTGCTGGTTGCAGCAGGCTGCCCAGTCACGTTGATGACGGATTGCCCAGGGCCTGTTGTTTCCCCTCGTGAAAGCATCCGTGGCCGCCTGGTTCCACGCTTCTTTTCGTTACTATTTCCCCCACGTCCTCAAACATGAGATCGAATACGCCAGTGCATGCCCTTCTCCCATCTCCCATCCCCGTCCCCCCGGGGGGGAGCCTTGCACCGTCACGCAGCTACCAGCGCCCCACCTGTCGCCCAGACCCTCCCCTTGGACTCTGCTTCTTCGAACGATTCCTGGTGACTGTGTTAAGCCGGGCCGCCTGGCGGCAGGCTTTGAGACGGAACTCAGGTGCCCGTGCCGCATTGAGGGAGCTCTCTGGGGAGAGAGTATGAAGGGAGAGGTCAGGGAGAGGCGTGAGCGAGGCTGGAGCCTCAGTGGGAGAGGAGCTGCGTTCTGGTCCCACTGGAGCGTGAACTGCTGCACAAGACTGGTCACAAGCTGAGGCCAGGCCTTTCTGAACCCCGGTCAGCGAGCCATTGCTATAGGCTGTGAGCGGGAGGGGGGCGCCTAACCTCCCCACAGAGCAGCTCCCCTGCGGCCAAGGATAGGTGCCAGGGGGAGGGGGCAGCTGTGAGTCCGCAGGTAACAGGCAGGGCAGCTGGGAGGGGAAAGGGCGTGTCAGCCGTGGGGGGTCTGATTAGGGCAACACCAGGCCTAAGGCTTCCTAAGTGCCTGCAGGTCCCCAGAGAATCCAATGATCCCCCTGTAACACCTTTGGCTCTTTGATCATGTAATTACCCAGCTTAGGAGGCTCTGCGGTGCTCCAGGCATAGAGACGAGTGTGGTAAAGACCACTGGCTAAGGAATGGCTGGAGGTCACCCGCTTGCTAGAAGTGAAGTGAAATCTTTCCCAACAGCGTTCACTTGGGATTCAGCTCTTGTCGGAGCAAAAGGAGTTTCTGCATCTCAGCCAAAGGCACCGCTGCTGGAAGGCAGGGGCTTCCTGATATGCCTTCTGCTGTCACTTTGCTACTGTAAGTGGCACTGAAACGCTTTAGAGCCGGGGTGGGGGACGTCCGGCCTGCGGGCTGCATAAAGCCCTCACAATCGTTTGGCCTGGCCCTGACAAGGTAATTAGCGGGGAGGTAATTAAGTGTTTGACCAAATACTGCAGGCTCATTTTTAAGTTGGTAATTTTGTCTGGCCCCCAAATGATGTTATAAATATCCCAGTGGCCCTGGGCAGGAAAAGAGGTTCCCCATCCCTCCCCCGACCCCACCCCGCTTTAGAGGAAAAAGGCCTGTTTGCTTTCAAGGCACAGAGGAAGGTGGAAGGGGCTGTGCAGTCCCCCCTCCGAGAACCTGTTCTGGGTGGAGAATGCTAAGGGCTGTGTCTTTAAAAAAAAAAAAAAATCCCTTTTCCTACCCATATCGCTCAGGCACTGTATGAAAACACTGGTTGCAGGCGCAGTTTTTCAATAGAATGGAAAATGAAATTAGAAGGCAAACTTTTTAATTTTTATTTACTTCAGAGAAGGAGAGGAAGAGAGAGATATAGAAACATCAATGATGAGAGGGAATCATTCATTGGCTGCCTCCTGCACGGTGGACCGAGCCGCAACCCAGGCATGTGCCCTTGACCAGAATTGAACCTAGGACCCTTGGGTCCGCAGGCCGACGCTCTCTCCACTGAGCCAAACCAGCTAGGGCTAGAAGCCAAACTTTTTAAATGTGAAGCATTAGAAAGGAAGCATTTTAAAATACCACAAAGCTCAGGTGAATATTAAGGATTTGGCCCCTTGATTCCTTCTCATAATGTATTTAATCATCTGAAAGTCATTTGGAAAAGGCAAGCAAATTATTGAGTCCATCCCTATGGCTGGCCTGTTCTTATAAATCTCTCTCTCTCTCTCTCTCTCTCTCTAAACATCAACATGAGAGAGAGACATCCATTCCTTGCCTCTCCGTCACACGGGAATTGAACCCGGAACTTGAACCCGGGACCCTCCGGCCTGAGGGCAGGGCCAGGGCCTTACAAGTCTCTTAACAGTGTTTTAAAGGGCCATGAGGGTGAAGTCCCGTAGCTGTTACTCATCAGAAGGTAAGTTGTGCCGTCAATTTTGAAAGTGGGCACTGAATTTGGGAGGTTTGAAACCCACCTTGTCCTTTTTTGTTTCCTTGGAAAATGTCAGTGTTCTGCTCCAAACACACAACTGATATTTTATCACTTTAGAGATTTCTTTCCATAATCATAGTGAAGTAAGGGCTACCACAAAAGACTTGTGCAATCTGTAGTAAGATTGTGATGGGCGGGACTCAAGCGGGGTTTTGTGGGAGGGGCCAGAGGTAGGAGTTCTATAAGGCTTGGTTCTCAACCTCCTGGCCCTTTAAATACAGTTCCTCATGTTGTGACCCCCAACCATAAAATTATTTTCGTTGCTACTTCATAACTGTAATGTTGCTACTGTGATGAACCGTCATGTAAATATCTGATATGCAGGATGGTCTTAGGCGACACCTGTGAAAGGTCGCTCGACCGCCAAAGGGGTCGCGACCCACAGGTTGAGAACCGCTGATTAGCCAATGTCGGAATGGGGTGTTTGTAGGGAAAAGTCTGCAACTGGAGGCTTCCCTGCCAGGTGAAGGAATTTTAGACTTTTTTTGTGGCTCTGAGCCCTGAGCCTCCTCTGTCCTGCGCTTCCGAACGATGAACGATGGTCCCGCGGTCGGAAGGTTGAAGGGGAGGGAGAGACTAGTCTAGTCACCAGAAGGAAGCGCGGAGAGAACGTGGGGACGGGCGCGCAGGAAGGTCGCCTGCGGGGGGGAGGAGGTCGGATCGCAGCCCCTGGGCAGGTGTGACTGGGCGGTAAGGGGTGAGGCCTGTGAGAGGGCGGGAGAGGGACCCAGGTTAGGGAGGTGAGTGCCACGTCCCGAACTCAGCAGGGACCCACAGGGAGGAGCACGGTGGTGGCGGAGGAGATGCGAGGATGCATCACCGCGTCCTCCGCGGGGCTCGCGCTGGAGACCTCCGATCAGTAGGAGGGACCTGGCGCTCGGGAGTCGCGCTGGTTTCGTTGCCCCCAAAGCCCGCGGAACGCTCGGACCCGAGACGAGGAACCCGTGCCGGTAAGGGCCCGGCCTTGCTGCGGACTCAGGTACCGTACCCTCCGCTTCCCGTAACCGGTTAGTCTGCGGCCGCGGGCGCACCGCTGGGTCCCGGCGTGGCCGCCGTC